TATCTTGGCACTGGTCGCTGCTTCGTATTAAAATAAAAAAAGGGGGGGAAAGAAGCGCAAGAAATTGAATAGAGTTTACAATAATTATTGGATTCACTTTTAGTACTAGGCACCTGGGTAAAAATTTCTAATCCCCAAGGTAAACATTAGATTGAAGGTCGATGTACTATCTGTTGGAACTTGGTTTTCCCTTCTGATTTCAGGCTCAAGTCTGAAAATGCAGAATTATTTTGGTTAGCCTCAGTACCAGTGACTGATTTCTGGGACAAATTGAAACTGTGCAGACAGATGAAACCTGTATAAAACCAGTTAAATTAACTCTGCACCTTGGAGCAGACTGAACAACTCTCTTATTGAGAGGGCTCTGGTGAGTTTCATTTTCTCGTCAGCATCATTCCAAAACCTCACTGCAGTCCTAGGTAATGAGAGTGGCTTTTTTCTGAGTATTGGAGCCCTGCAGAGAAGGCATCCTCCAGTTTCCTCAGGTGGTCTGTTAGAGGTTATCTGCTCAGGCACACTGCCATCTGGGGATTCTGGGCTGCAGTTAACCTGGAAATTGGAGCAATCTTAATTTTAGGACGTGCCTGTGAGTCACAGGCATGCGAGCCTGGCCCAGGTCATGTCAAAGAAAGCCCTTAGTGAAAGTGTAGTGACTGAATCCACGTCCAAGGAGTCCCTGCAGGCAGGACACAGGCTCTGGGCCATTGCAGAAGCACTTGCTGCCTTTTGCCCCTAAGCATCACTCATGACCGTGTGTCACACCTCCAGCTGAACCTGAGGGACTCATTTCACCTGCTTCACTTGTGAAGGTTAGTATTAAGCTGAGGTCTCTCTTGTATTTTATAGGGGTATCATTACTCCAAAGGGAGACTGAGCCCACTGGACCTGTGCACCTTGCATATCTGTAATTAGTTTCTCCCAAGAAACATGCTCAGGTGTCTGCACCTGAGGTGAAATGGGGGCTAGACTGGGGCTCCAGGACAGGGTGTAGGACAGTGCTCCCAGTGTGCCAGTGACTGACAGCTGCTCTGGGGGTGGCAAAGGAGGCTTCAAGGGGCTGGGGTGTGGACCAGGGCACCACTTCACCTTCATGAAATTTGACCTGTCCCCTCCCCCCCATGCACACACTTGAGTTGGTCCAGACCAGTAATTAATATAATAATCCAGTGTCTCACAGACTGACAATGCTCTTAATCCTGCCTTTTCATTGATGAATAGTTTCTCAGTACCTCAACTGTTTTTTAGTTTCCCTAGACAGCAATTGACCTTGTTTCCGCTATGCATCAAAATGCACTGGCAATCAAGATGCTATTGATTTAAACCTAATGGCCAGCCACTCAGGAATTTCACCTAGAAAAGAAAAATCAATGCCTCATTATTACTGCTATTATTATTGTTATCATTAATTATTATTTCCTTTTTTTCCCCCCCTGTTAAGGTAGTATAAGCAAAAGGCATAAGAGACTTATCAGCCTCTTACTGTTAAGCAGTACATTTGCGGGGCTGAGAACATTGAGTCAGGCTCAGCTGAAGCATCCAGCCAGTTACAGGTTGAAATGGCTCTAGGATTAAATAACTCTGCTTGATTACATGCTGCCATATGTATCTCTCTGCTGACCTTCCCTGAGGCATGCTAGCTGCACTGCTATGTGGGACTCTGAGGAAGATGTCTTGAGCAACGCATTATCCCTATTATTGGATGAGCTCTGTGGGGGAAGGATCTCCCCGTCTTGTCCTTGCTTCATTTTGGGTATTTTCTTCTCCTTCTCCCCCATCCCTAGGGGAAGGTGTCACTTAGAATCTGCAAGATTAGTTTACAAGACTGGTTTAAATGCACAGCAGGTAAGCAGCTGGCAGATAGATCCATGGTAGGACTGAGGAACACTATCCTATCTAGTAAAGTGAAGGATGCCAGGATACATTCTGTTGTCCATAGGCTGAATGGTCCCACACCAATTGTGTTCATGCTGCTCAATTCTCTTACCTTCCAAAACAGGGTAGTTTTCCTCTTTGGGCTTCTCAGCTTAGGCATGGAACTTGAAGCCAGGCTATGAGATGGCTTGCTGACACTTTGCTGGTGTGGGTGATTAGGGAGGATGTGTAAGCCTGTAACGTAGTGGTTCTCAGTTTCTTGGGATGATAGAGACATCCAAAGAGTGTCATGAGCAGTCCTGGTTTAGGTCTTCTTCAGAGTCTTGTCTGTAGTAACTCCAAATGCTTTGGAGCAAAATCACCTTTGTAACAATGTTGAGTCTTGAGCCTCCTTTTAACTGGGGACTTGGCTCCTGCATCATATAAGCTGAGGATCATTAAAGAGCAAGGGATGGTATGGGGCAGTCCTGTGACAGTGACACCGACATTCCAGTAACATTCTGAAGTGCTCCTGGATTTGCTGCGTATTGGTAAGACTAAAATAGCATGGAGGTCTTTGTACTTCCACTGTTAGCAGTGAAACCTTTAGCTATCAGTAATGCATGAATTCCTAATTTTCCCAGTGTGAGTTAGTTGCATTGCCTTATGAAACTCCCTGTAGTTTACTTGGAAGGGCAAAAGGTCACTTTGGCATACTAAAGCATTGTCCCCTATGGCCCAGGCTTTGCTGCAGCCATTGATGCATTGGCGAACTGTTGACCTCTTCATACATTTTTGTGGAAGGGGACTTGTTGATTTGTGCATCTTTTTCCAATTTCTACTGCATCTGTGGCATACTCCTGCTAACCGTTTCAGTTTGCTTGGACAAACGGCAGGGCTAAGAATGCCTGTGAGATGGTTTGCAGTTTTGGGTGAAATCTCTCTGGGTTCAGCAGAGTTGATTGTTGATGTCACACATCAGGAAGTCTTTTACATCTTCCAAACCAGCTCAGGGGAAACTGAGCAAAATCTGAGAACTTACTCTTTAGCTGTGGACTTTTTCTCAGCTTCTGGCAGTGGTGATGTACTTTCATTTTGGCTTTTTGGGAGAGGTTGGAGGAAGAAGTAGAAAGTTTGGGGGCAAGCTATGGGAGGCACAGCAGAATGATCCTGGTACCTGGATTATATACCTAGCTGGGTAAAGCAGCAAGTGTTCCCCAACTGAGGTTGTGGCTGGTCCCACATAATCTCTGAAGCAACCCACAGGAGACCATACCAGTTGCCAGCACTCAGTGGGGAGCAGTGGATGGAAGGTTCTTGTTCTGCAAGAACCAGTCCTAAGGCCGATGTCAGCATATTGGCCTCCCCACCCACTCTTGTCTGCTGAACTTCACTTACTTCTTCCAAAAGCAGCTCTACCTCACACCAGTACTTCTGTGCTGACATGGGCTGATGCTACCCCACTGGGAGTAGGAGGAGGGCATGGTCCTATATTCATTTAGCACAAGCATGGTTGCATATGGAAATGAGTTTTCTTTGGAGAGGCAGGGCACCTGCTCTCAGTTTTATCTGATGCAAATTAATTGAGGGGTTTTGGACTAATCCTTTGGTGAAACCAAGCTTCCAAGCTCATCTGCAAATTGGTTTAATTTTGCTCACAGGTTCCCCAGGTTTGAGGTTGAGACGCGTGTAGTGTAAATTCCACGAGATCCCACCATGGTGTATTTTCTCTTGTGTAGCTTTCCTGGTGGTTCACTTAGGAGAAGCACTAACTATTTCACAACACAATAAAATGGGTTTTCTGCATGTTAAACCAAACGCTGTGAGTGTAAACCTGTGAGCATACTGAGTTAAGCTGTCTTGTATGTTAAACACGTTTCTTGCTTCATTGGTAGTGTTAGAACAGAAGACCATCTCTTTGAATGGTTTAAATATCTCTTGCGTCCAAAAGGGAGATTGCAGATATTTGAAGTCTGGAGTTATTTAGAGAAAATAAAATTAAGCTTTTCCTAGACATTTCTCCGTTAGAGGCTGTCTGATATAAAAGGGAAATAGAGAGAATGCATCAAGTAAAAATAATACATATGTATGTGTGTTTGTATGTGTCATTCTTGGTTTCCTCCAGACAGCACACTGGGGATAGGTAATTCTACTTTACTAATTTGGCCTTAGAGGATCTAGTATGACTTTGAAACCAGGAGCATTTCTGTTGTTTCTGTGGTCAGGCACAGAAACAAACCCGTGAACGTACTGTTGCTGTGGCAGATATATCTGTATTTCAAAAAGCATTTTCCTTTGGCTACATCTGAGGAAAACTAGCAAAAACTAGCATCCTGGTGAGAAAGTGTTTGGCCTGGAAAAAAGGTATTTTTTAGCCTTCTGATCTGTTCCTCTGATTTCTCATGCCTTAGTGCAGCCCACACAATACAGAGGCAGACTGGTGGTCAGGTGAGACAGAGGAGAGCTTTTGTTCCTGTGCAAAAGGAGGCAACCAGTTCCTGGGCCTCAGGTGACTGTGCATTCAGGCTTTCTAGGTGCATCTATATGGGGTTGGTCACACTGACAAGCCCCATCTCAGCCCTTCAGTCTGTTGCCCTGAACAGTCTCGGAGGAGTTGGAAGAAGTAGGGCACCCAGAGCAAATCAGGGGATTTCAGACCCTGTCCAGAGGAGTTCTGGATATTTTTTTGGTTCCTCTGGGTCAGATCTGATCTCACCTTCCCTGGGTGATTTTTTTGTTGATTTTTAAGAACACTTCCTGCTTATTTTTCTTAGGATGGGTTTCCAAAGGGTAGTGAAGCACTTGCCAAGGGTGAAGGGTGGCTGCAGGCACTGACAGCTGAACACACCAGCTGCCTGCCCTTTGCACTTGCAGATTTCTGAGAATGGAAAACAGTTCTTTTATTTTTGGGGGGGTTCTTTGTTTGTTTGGGTTTGTGGGTTGGTTTTTTTTTTTGGTCTTTTTTGCCATTTCTTATCGCTCTCCAAGTGGGCATATATGGGAAGAACTAAGAACTAGGTCAGGGTGTGCACATATGTGGGGCATTATTTCCTCTTGAGATGATATGGAAGATGAGCTGATTTGAGTGCCGTGATATGTTATTCATTGCCTTTGTCCTCACCTTGGTGTCGGTTTCCTTTCTTCATCAGGAAAATGGGAGCCACTGCCCCAGTGTGAACTGTCTCTAAGGTACAACAAAATAAAGGCCACCTGTCCCACTGCCTCAGACACTTCCTAGTATGGATGGCTTGGTTGAGCAGAACAGCGTGCTAATGCACAGTAAGATCACTGAAGCTGGGAAAAGGAATGGTTTAATTAATACAAGGAACTTAATGGCAGAGAGTGGAGATGGTCTGGTCTCTGTGTACTCGACTCCACAGTACCAGAGTCACCGAGTGGGCAGCCTATCCTCTCCAAGCTGCCTGGAGAATGGCAGGAATGACCCTGTACATCAGCTCCTGGACCCCAACATGCTGCAGCAGACAGTGGAGTCTCACTACCGGCCCAACATCATCCTTTACTCTGAGAATGTGCTGCGCTCGTGGGGTGAGAGCATTAGCTCGGAGTGCTGTGAAACTACCTTCATCGAGGACCGCTCTCCCACCAAAGACAGCCTGGAGTACCCAGACAGCAAGTTCATCGATCTGTCAGCAGATGACATCAAGATTCACACCCTCTCCTATGATGTTGAGGAAGAAGAGGATTTCCAGGAGCTAGAGGTCAGATGTCATTTGGGATATGTGGGGAAGGCTGGGAGGAGGAGGGCATATTTGAGATTAAGCCTCCAAGAGCTGATCTGCAGGGGATCAGCTGCTTTGTAAGCTAGTCTGCATGGGGTCTGCTCTATCACTTTCTCCTCCAACCAGACAGTGAATGATCACTCATCTTTATTTGTTGCATAAAGTCCCAGCTCTGTGGATACCAATGGCAAAATTCCCACTGGCCCTAATGGAGATCAGCATTTGCCTCCTACCTCTGAATGGACTGGTCAGAAACTGAAGAAGACCCATGTCCTTAAACACCGTGTAAGGTCAGGGCTGGGAGCATCTGTCCACCCACATGGAGCTTGTCTTACTCAGCAGGCCAACATCTTCTCTTCCCTTCACCTAACTTGAACTGGGCATAGAGCAGAAGAGCAGAATGTTTTACAACCTGGCTGTAAGACTCAAGTCCTGAAACCTCAAGCTTTACTGGGAGTATTACTTATATTTAAGGCTCAAAATTGCAAAGTCTTTTAGTTCTTTAACATCTTGAGATCACATAAAGAGAAAGTGCAATATATGATTTCCCAAGAGATTACTTTTAATTTGGTGAGAAAATAGGCATTTTGGCAAAAGGTTCACAGGGCAATTACAACCAAGATAAAGCATTCCACCCAACTCACACACCAGCTTAGTAAAATAGAACCCATCAGTTTTAAGTTATCCAAACGAGATTAAGGAAAAAGTAAAGAAAGAAAAGAGATTAAGAGAAGAAACAGGAGTAAAAAGAAAGAAGAAGAGAGAAGGAGTAAAGAAAGAGATTAGAATAAGAGAAAAATAGTTACTGCCGAGAATCCTTCACATGGTGACGGCCACAGAAGAGAGAGAAAAAGGAAGTGGAGACTCTGTGCCCTTGTATTTATATGGTCTGGCCACTCTGGCCACCCCTCCCAGGGTCTGGTTCACTGCCCACTCAGAGCCCTCCAGGCCAGAGTGAGGGGTGGTGCAGGCAATCAGAGGCTCAAGGGGGCATGGTATGGGTGGGCTACCAGGAAGGCCCTTTGATTGACAGATCTGCCATGTGGCTTCCGTGCTGGAGTTGCCATGTTTGACCCTGCCATATGGGCTTCAACCTGGCCTGTTACTGTAAATCCGACAATAAGAAACCTCTAAGACTCAATTTGTGAGCATTAGTGGTCAGGCATTCTTTTACTATCAGCACTGAACACACAGGAGGATCGCTCCTCTAGTCATGTGTGCGTCCCTTCTTGGCTCAGCGTAGCTAATATTTACTCACAGTTTTACATATTCAGTAAATATCTTACATATTCACTACTTCTCTTATGAAGTCCATACATATGTTAATTAGTTCTAAGAAGTTCTTCGGAAGTCCTTATTTGGTCACTAGGGGTCTTCTGGTGGAACCTGAGTGGTCTCTGGTGGTCGTTTGGAGCTTGAACTCTACTTGACCTTGTCCACTGAGCAGCATATTTACAGGTGGTTGTAAAGCACCTTTGTTCAGCATCTCTTATCCAAAACCTGGATACTCATGTTACCGCTGCTTTAACTAAAGCATTCAGAAATTTGCTTATTCTGCAACTACCTTAACAGAAACTTACATTGTAAAGGCCGATAGAACATTACTAAACAATAGAGAATTATTACTCTCACGCCCCTTCCCCCCACATACACAGTTTGTTCTGACCCAGTAAAGAATCCAGTGAGATTTGAATCCAGTCTCTCACACTGGCTCAAACACATAACATTTCTGTCTCTGACTGAACACAGAATCAGCAGTCCTTGGGTTTCAAGCTGCAACGAATCCCATGTCTCTGAAATAAAAGATATTTTTCTGAGGGAGGGAAACACTTCATTAGATCCAAATACAGTGTTTTCTTCTGGATTCCTGTGCTTCCTTAATTGCTCACTGTAAAGTAATGGGGCAGACTATGGAAGAGAGAAGTGTTTTTCCCAGTGTGTGCCAGTAATGCGGTATTCAGTGCCTCCACAGGGAGACAAAAAGTTTTCTCTCTGAGGCATGTGAGGTGTTAGCTCGAATCACACCCTTCTACAGCATTTCAGAATTGACCGTGGGAAGTATAATTTTCTTAATCAAAACAAAATCCCTAGTTGCCATCTTTTTGCCACAGTTTCTCTCGTGCAGTAGTAATACAAGTGACTGCAGCACACGTAATTGCCTAATGGTGTGATTGACACATCTGGCCTGGCATTTAGGCAGTAAAAAAAAAGTCTCCCTCTTCTCAATCCAAATCAACAAGACCTTCCTTCCTTAGCCAGCTGTTGGAGAACAAGCTAAAAAAAGGCTGGGGAAATAAGCAGGATAAGGAAAAATGTTTTTACCAAAAATACTTTTCTTGGTGGGATTTTTAAAGTGTCTTTGCAATATAGAACCCTCAATCTCTTCAAAGTAGTGCTGTAGGAGCTTGATCAGCTTTTCATAAAGAACACTCATGTTTAAAAAACCAGCTGTAGAACTTCCTTCCCTGTCTCAGATCTTAAGAGGAGAAAGGAGACAGTGTTTGCAAATTTTGGTACCATGCTGTGACAGTGTGTGCATCGTTTTCCAGGGCTCCTTCTTCTTTCTGACCTATTTCTCTGGACTGTAGCATTCTGAGATCATACATGTCACTTCTTAAATGGGTGTACTGCATCTGGCATCATGGATTCCCACCCTCACTTAACCCTTTGGGATGTTACTGCTCTAATAAACAGAGAGGTGTATGGACAACCATCCTGACCTACATATACAAAGTGCTGAGAAGAGGAAGACATTCACAAAGTACACACCACCCATGCATCTTCCTTTCTATCAAGGTTTCTTCTCCACTAGGAGAATAGAGCAAGGGAGGAGAAAACAAGGCAAGATTTGGGTTAGCTGAAACCACGTGCATTGCTAGAAGCCTTTGCTTTGAGCCCAGTATACATCTTCATTACTGTGCTACTTGGCCAACCCTGTACAGCACTGTGATTTTCACACTTTTCTGTGAACCAAATCCAAATGATCATCATGCTGCGCTCAGCACAAGGAATCTCAGCATGAGGAGTAACTTCCATTCCAGGAAGGTCCAAATTCTGCAGATGCAGCTGGTCATGCAGAAAGATGGGTAGGAGAGGAGAGATGCATTTGGCAGCACAAGACCAGCAGAAAAGGTGACTGCTGTGTTGTGCTCCTCTGGTTCACATGTGGTATCATTGTGGCCAGATGCATGAGGGCCTCCTGGGCTTGGCTAATACAGAGGTTCTTTAGAGACCCAACTTCATGTGTTGAGACTCCAGGAATGGAATAAAAGTATTTAAGGACAGCAGACACTGAACAGGGGAGTGAACCATGCCAGATGGTTAACTACATAAAAATTTGCTTATATGTCCAAATGAGAAAAACAGCACCTGAATCACACAGCACAAGTGTGTCCCACTAGTAAACTTTTTTTCCGCAGCAATTGCTGAAAAGAAACAAATACTTTTTAAAGTTACTAAGAGACTCAAAGTGGAGTGGAAAGGGTTAATACCAGGACTGAGAGCAGAAGTTAGAAAGGGAGCAATGGGAGACGTGATATAGCAGAGGTGCAAGATTTGCTTCACCAGAGTGAGAGCCTTAAAGGATTTGATTCTACCCTTGAGGATGCAGACATTGCTGCATATCGTGCTGCATTGACTGTCATGCCACAGCTCATCAAGGCATGAGAGCTGCATAGGGTAAGAGCAGTTCAGGGCTCAGTTCTTGTAAGGGTTTTTTATTGTAACATATTTGCTTTGTCACTTCTTTCTGGGAGAAAACTGTAAAAACAGCCCCTTTTTGGCAACACTAATAAATAGGGGAGCTTTGTGCAGAAGAGCTGTTGTCTGTTGAAGACTGAGGGCTACCTCCTGTTCTTCATGTGTCAGTGTGGATTCCCAACTTGGACATCTCAGGAAAATGCCTTCTGGAAGACAGAACAACCATGGCGTTGTGAGTCATTTCTCTTCCCCCATGTCTCCGTGGCACTGCCTGTCTAATAGCAGAGTACCTGCCTAGGGTCTTTCAGGATGGATATTTAGTTTCTTAGAAATGCCAAAAAATTGAACTCATCACTTTGTAGTGACTCCCTCCCTGCAATCTTTTCAGGAGGGACACATGCAGAAAATATTATTGCTAGCCAGACTATTTCTACCAGAATTTTGTTTTTTGAAGAGAGTGGGGCTCTTGATAACCAGAAAGGTTGCTGTTCTCTTGCACAAAACTTTGCAGTAGAGAAAGGTTCTGAAAAACCCAACTGGTTTGAATGACAGTGATTTGGTTTTGGTTTGAAGAGTTGATCCAGATAAGTTGCAGGAGTTGCTGCTCTGTTACCTGTGACCCTCTTCAGGATGAGTGTATCCAGCTCAGCATGTCACTAACAAGTTGCCTAGAAGGAGACTCCTTCTTCCCTTCCCTGAGCCTGGGGACTCCAAAGAACTTGGGAGATGTAGCAGGAGACATTCTAAGGGTCCTACACATTGCTGCAACAATGTGGGCACATTTAACTTACTTATTGGAGTTTTTTTTACTAGGAGTGTTTCTCAGGTCCTGGTGTAATGTTATTCAGTCTGCCTAAGAAAATCATAATTGTCAGGAGGGAAAAACATTTCTGGAGCAGATCTCATTAACATATACAGCCCTGCTTTGCTCCAGCAATTACCAAGCATGAAAGCAGAAGGCTGCACATTCTGTCAGGGCTTTAAACTGCTCTCTTTGGTGCCAGTCTCTGAAATCAAATGATTCCCTATTTAGGTATCTCTGGATCACTTATAAATATCTTATGAGTTCTTTATGGCACAAGTAAATAGATAGATGACTTGTCCAATGTGGCAGCAGTGAAATATGACATGAGTTAAATGCTGAAATACTCTTCTCTTAGAGTTCATGTATAAATGCAGTGCCATCTTTTATCCAGAAACATAATTTGTCATATTACACTCCTATATTACTCCATATTACTGCTAGTTTCCCTTCTAACCCCTAGATAGATGGCTTATTT